TCAACCTAAAGGAACTCCGTACTTTCTGCCTCCTGAGGGTCCTGTTGGGGCCCTGTTGGGATCTCCTGGGGCCCTCTTGGGCCGTTATGGGACCCTTTTGGGCCGTCTTGGAAGTTGTCGGCCGTCTTGGAGCTTTCCTTGGAGCCTCTTGGGGTTCTTTTGGGGGCCTCATCCCACTTGGGACTCTCTTGGGAGCTTCTAGGGGCCCTATTGGGCTGTCTTGGGGTCCTCTGGGGCCGTGTGAGGGCTCTCGTCGGGCGCCTTGGGGCCCTTTTGGGGGCCTCTTGGGCCATCTTGGGGCGATCTTGGGGGCCTCTTGGGCCGTCCTGGGCCGTGACCCGAAAAGGCGAGAATCTACATTACGCTACCGAGGAACCCCACATACCTATTTATTTCCCATGTGTACCATCGAACCTTCTGCTGCTGCTGCTCCTTCTCCTCCTCGGTGTCCTCCTGCTGCTGCTTCTGCTGCTGCTGCTTCTGCTGCTGCTGCTGCTGCGCTGCTGCAGCTGCTGCTGCTGCTGCCGCTGCTGCTGCCCCACCTCCCCGTCCTCCTCCTCCTCCTCCTCCTCCTCCTCCTCCTCCTCCTCCTCCTCCTCCTCCTCCTCCTCCTACCTCCCAGCGCCCCCCCCCTGTGGCGTCGAGGACATGCCACGCCTGCCACGCCCTGGGTGCCTACAACGCATAGGGCCCCCACCCCCAGCGCACCCCCTGTGGCGTCGAGGAAATGCCACGCCTGCCACGCCCTGGGAGCCTACAACGCATAGGGCCCCCACCCCCAGCGCACCCCCTGTGGCGTCGAGGAAATGCCACGCCTGCCACGCCCTGGGAGCCTACAACGCATAGGGCCCCCACCCCCAGCGCACCCCCTGTGGCGTCGAGGGCCACGCCTGCCACGCCCTGGGAGCCCAACGCATAGGGCCCCCACCCCCAGCGCACCCCCTGTGGCGCACGCCTGCCACGCCCTGGGAGACGCATGCGCACCCCCTCTGGCGTCGAGGAAATGCCACGCCTGCCACGCCCTGGGAGCCTACAACGCATAGGGCCCCCACCCCCAGCGCACCCCTGTGGCGTCGAGGAAATGCCACGCCTGCCACGCCCTGGGAGCCTACAACGCATAGGGCCCCCCACCCCCAGCGCACCCCCTGTGGCGTCGAGGAAATGCCACGCCTGCCACGCCCTGGGAGCCTACAACGCATAGGCCCCCCCCGCCCCCAGCGCACCCCCTGTGGCGTCGAAGGAATGCCCTGTGTGCTATGCTGTGCTGTGCTGTGCTGTGCTGTGCTGTGCTGCTGTGCGGTGAGCTGTGCTGTGCTGTGCCGTGCTGTGCTGTGCTGTGCTGTGCTGAGTTGAGCTGAACTGACCTGTGCTCAGCTGTGCCGTGCTGAGCTGAGCTGAGCTGAGCTGGGCTGTGCTGAGCAGTGCTGTGAGGAGGAGGGGAAGAGTGAGGTGTCTGAGAGAGAGAGAGAGAGAGAGAGAGAGAGAGAGAGAGAGAGAGACGGAGAGGGAGGTGTGGGTGTGTGAGTGTCGCGGGTGCGGCGCGGCAAGGAAGAAAACCAGAACCGTGGGGTTCCTCGGTAACATCAATTGTCGGTCGGGGAGGTGGGTGAGAAACGCGGGTGTGACGCGGTTGTAGAGAAAATCAGAACCCCACGTAGAATGTGGGGAAACACATGCAACAACATAATGACAATCAAGTGTTTGTGCCTCCTGAAAACCCCTTTGGGGCACTTTTGGATAGTCTTGGGGCCCTATTGGGCCAGTTGGGGCCCTTTTGGGCCCTCTTGGGGCGTCTTAGAGGCCTTCGGCCGTCTTGGGGCTCTCTTGGGGGCCTCTTCGGGCCCTCTTGACCTCTTGGGGCCATCTTGGGGCTCTCTTGGGGCCGTCTTCGGGCCCTCGTGGGCCGTTTTGGTGCCCTCTTGGCCCGTCTTGGGGCCCTCTTGGGCTGTCCTGGGGCTCTCTTGGGCCGTTTTGGGACGATCCTTGGGGCCTCTTGGGCCGTCCTTGGCCCGAAAATGCGAGAATCGAAAACATATAGAAATGCCAAAGGAAAATCAATGTTTTTGTCCTCCTCAGGCCCTCTTGGGGGTCCTCTCGGGGGCCTCTTGGACCTTCTTAGGGCCCTCCTGGGCCGTCTTGAGGCCATCTGACGCCATCTTGGAATGCTCTGAAACGATCCTGGGCTTTCTTGAGGCGCGTAGGGCCGTCTTGGAGCCCTCTTGAACCCCTCTTGGGCCGCCTTGGGCGCGTCTTGAGACGTCTTGGGCGCCTCTTGGGCCGTCTGGGGGGAGCCTTGCCATTAGATGCCAATCGCCCGGCCTCCTGAACCCCTCCCTACAGGGCTTCGCCCCACCAGAACGTCATCACTCGTACCTCGCTCTTTCCGTTACCTGGGCCGGCACGGGAAGAGAAAGAGCGCTTCAGGAACTTGCCCAAGATGGCTCATGGCACCCTTCGCTCCTGGGAGCCTTCATGTTGAGCGCTTGTTACCTCACTGCTCTCTGTTGGGAGCCCTGGTGTTCAGATACTTTTATGCTGCCGCTCGCTCTTGGGACCCTTGCTATCAAGAGCTTTTTGCGTCACAGCGCTCTGAGGAGCCGTGACGTTAAGAGCTTGTTACGTCACCGCTCGCTGTTGGGAGCCATGGTGTTACTTGGCGTCTCTGGGGCTTCTTGGGTTGGGGGCCCTTTTGGGCCGTTTGGGGCCTTCTTGGGCCGTCTCGGGGCCAGCCCAGTCCCCACGCCCAAGCAGCCCAGTCCCCACACCCCTTTTGAGCCGTCTTGGGGCGTCTTGGAGGGCTGTGGCCGTCTTGGAGCTTTCCTCTGGGCCTCTTGGGGCCCAGTTGGGAGTCTCACGGGGCCCATATGGGGCCTCTGGGCGCCCAATTGGGCCGTCTTGTGGTCCTCTGGGGCCGCCCCGGGGGCCCTCTTCGGGCGCCTCGGGGCTCTCTTGGGGGCCTCTTGGGCCATCTTGGGGCGATCTTGGGGGCCTCTTGGGCCGTCGAAAGCAAGAGAAAAGCGAGAAACGACAAAACTTAGAAACACCGTAAGAAAACCAATGTTTTTGGCCTACTCAGGCCCTCTTGGGGGTCCTCTTGGGGGCCTCTTGGACCTGCTTGGGGCCCTCCTGGGCCGTATTGAGGCCATTTGGAGCCATCTTGGAATGCACTTAGGCGGTCCTGGGCTTTCTTGGGGCGCGTAGGGCCATCTTGGAGCCCTCTTGGACCCCTCTTGGGCCGTCTTGGGGGCTTCTTGGGACGTCTTGGGCGCCTCTTGGGCGGTCTGGGGGGTGAGCCTGGCATTAGATGCCCGTCGTCCGCGCCTCGCCCTTCCTCTGGACCCCTCCCTAGAGTTAGGTCGGGCCTGTCCCCCCTACAGGGGGATCTTAGGCGAAAAATTAAGAATATCCCAAACATGGTTAAAACATGTTCAGCAATAGCCAAGAAATCGTCCACATACTATTTTTTTTGCATATTTTTGAACATTCCCCCTGCAGAGGGACAGGCCCGACTTAACCCTAGAGGCCTTCGCCCCACCGAAACGTCATCACTCGTGCCTTGCTCTTTCCATGATCCGCCGCCCCCCGTGGTTTTGCCACATGTCGGCGGCGAGCGAGGGGGGGGGGAAATGAGAAGGAGAAGGCCTTCTCAGAAGGCGGCGGGACTTCTCAGGAGCCCTCGCTCCTTCTGAGAAATTCTTTTCGTCTTCGGAGAAGGCTTAGTAAACTTCTCAGAAGGCCAGGGGACTTCCGAACCTTCTGAGAAGGCCTTCTCCTTCTCACTTCCCCCCTCGCTCGCCGCCGAACAGGGGTGCGTGGCGTGCTCACATCCCTACGGACTGGTTTTGGTCCTCTTCCAGCAGAGCTCCCCCTCGTGGCTTCGGGCTCGCGCGCCGACCACCCAGAAGGCCGCGCAGTCCGTAGAACGAGCTGCACGTTCGCCTGCAAGACATCCGAGATGGCCCACGACGGCCTCCCTAAGATGCCTCCAAGACGGCCAGGATGGCCCCAAGACGGCCAAGACGGCCCCTAAGACGGCTAAGATGGCTCCAAGATGTCTCCAAGGCGGCCCAAGATGCACTCCAGACGGCCGAAGATGGCCCCAAGACGGCCCAAGAGGCCCCCAAGAAGCATCCAAGACGGCCCAAGAGGCTTCCAAAAGGATATGCAGGAAGGCCAGAAGAGGCGCAAGTCATCGATTTTCCTTGGGTGTTTGAAGGATCTCTGTATTGGCTACTTTTCGGCTTTCCGAAAGCCCGAGACGGCCAAAGAGGCCCCCAATATCTTCCCAAGATCGCCCAAGAAGCCTCCAAGAAGCCTCCAAGATGGCCCTATGACGCCCAAGAGGCCTCCAAGAGGCCCCCAAGAGGGCCCCAAGACGGCCCAAGACGCCTCCAAGACGCCCAAAGTGGCCTCCAAGACGGCGATGGAGAACCCGAAGAGAGCTCCACGATGGTTCAGGGATGCCCCCAAGACGGCTCCCGACGCGTCAGATGGGCCAGGAACGCCCCAAGACGGCCCAAGAGGCCCTCAAGAAGGCCGCAAAGGCCTCCAAGAGGCCCCCAAGGAGGCCCCCAAGACGCCTCCAAGAGGCCACCAGGAAGCCCCCACGAGACCCCAAGAGTGCCCCAAGAGGCTCCCTAGAGGCCTCCTCCTTCTACTTCTCCTCCTCCTCCTCCTCCTCTTCCTCCCTCTCCTGTTCCTCCCTCCCATCCTCCCCCAAGTGTTCCCCCAAGAGTTTCCAGGGCGGCTTGGGGAACACACAGTCCGATAGCTTGGCCGAGCTAGGGCCCAACGCTTGGCCACAGAGGCGCTTCTCAGAAGGCAGGGAGTGGCGGTGATTCGCCGTAGGCGTCGTCGATGCGTGGCCGACTCCAGAAACCCTGAATCCGAAACTGTTGACGTCTCACTTTTGCTTTCGCGACCTTCCGCCAGCCTCCTGCGGGCGGGCCCGCCAGCCTTCCGCCGTCCTTCCGCCCAGGAAGGGGTGCCAACTCCTCCGCGTGAGAACGTGCGGGCGAGCGGCACGCGAGAAGGTCAGGGCGAGCTGTGTTGAGCTGCTTCTTCTTCTTTGCTCTGTCCCCCGCGCCGCGTGAAGGTGCTGCAGGCTGGCGGCGGTGGTGCACGCGCCGATATTCTTCGTGCCGTCGAAGGGATCCTCGACGCTGGGGCCCACCTCCGTGGTCTTGCCTGCGGGGAAGTGCACACAGCGGAGGGTCTGGCGAGGCAATCGAGGATGGTGTGGCGGCGCGCAGAAGGAGGCGGGGAGGAGGGGGGGGGCCCTGCAAGTCAACCGATTACGGGAGCCCATCACCGATCTGCCTTAAGGGATGGTCAGTGAGAGGCTGCCTTGTTTGGTTCAGTTGCAGGAGCCCTCACCCGTCGGAGCAGCTGGGGGTGGGAGATGGGGGGAATGGGACGGCCTGGATCCTAAGAAGGCAGGGGGGCTTCTTCGAAGGGATCGGATGCTTCTGAGAAGGCCTCGTGGACGGCGCGGGGGCTTCTCAGAAGCCCCGCTGCATTCTTAGGAGTCCGCTCCCCCTCTCACTGCCCCCTGCTGCGCGCCGCCGGATGGTGGGGATGACGATTGTGGTGGTGGTGGTGGTGGTGGTGGTGAGGTCAGAGCACTCCCGCGCGACGGCAACCTCAGGAGCCATGGTGGACCGCGGCGGGCAGGGAGAGAGAGAGAGAGAGAGAGAGAGAAGAGGATGCGGGGGAGGGAATATGAGGAGGGGAAGAGAGGATGGTGGTGGTGGTGGTGGTGGTGATACTGATAAGGAAGAGGACGATGAGGAGGCGGAGGAAAAGGAGGGTAAGAAAGGGGGAGGATGAGGGGGAGAGGGATAGTAGAACGGGGAGAGGGGAGGGGGATGGAGTAGGAGGGGGAGGGCGGAGGAAGAGGAGGGGAAAGATGACGAGCGGGAGCAACATGGTGAGGAGGACGAGAATGGCGAGGATCAGCCCAGTAGATGAGGACAAGGAGGACGATGAGGGCGAGTCTTAGCACATTCGTGCCCGCGTTGTTCGAGTAGGGGATTGGTTACAGGATCGGTTTGGATTCAAGACTGTGTGCTCGTCGACTCTACGGAATCTGTGCAGCTTGCTTGGTACATACCTACGAGCGTTGTGTGCACTCTTGCTCGGAGATCCGGCGGACAAATCAATGTCGGGGTGCATCAAATCTGCAGTCGATCCCTTGCTCGAGCTGTGAACTCCCTCCCCCCCGCGGCTGCCGTCGTCTCCGACCACGATGTGGACGGGCAGCAGCGGCAGCGCCCCGGAGGCCCCGCGCTCCCCCGAGCGCACCGACACGCTCTCGGCCCGCCAATCGAACTCGGAGCCGTAGAAGCGGAAGAACGCCCTGATTTGGCGGACGCAGAGGAACAAAACGTAGCATACATGCGGCAAAAAAGATACACGTCGTTCATTTCTAATCGTGCTCATTTCTAGTTGTGCTCGTTGCTAACTGTTCCTGGCCCCCTAGTGGCCAGGAAGAGGCCCAGGATGAACAATTTGAAAAAGGATCTTGCCCACCCCCAAAGAGCAAAGAACTTCGAAGAATTAGAAATGAACCATGTGTAAGCCTTCGGCGCTCCGCGCGGATTTCTTGGATCTGCACTGGATCCCTTGGGGCCCTCTTGGGGGCCTGCTGGCGGCCTCGGGGGTCCACTTGGGGCGGAGGGCTCGAAATGTGAGTTTGGGTTCCCCCTCTTGGGCCTCTCTTGTATTCTAGGCCGTCTTGGGGCCCTCCTGGGGGCCTCTTTGCCCGTCTTGGGGCGATTGGGGACCTCTTGGGCCGTCTGGAGGCCATCTCGGGGCGTCTTGGGCCCTATTGCGCCGCTCTCGTCGCTTATCGGTGCTCCCTGGAGGGTGTTTTGGGCGGCGGCCAGGGCCACCTGATGAGGCGCAGGAGGGCCCCGAAAGCGGAGGGGGTGCTAAAATGGGAGGGGGGGAAATCCGGGAGGGTGTCCTGGCCCGGGCCCGTGCCCCCCGGTACCCCAGCATATGATTATATTTACATATAGAAATAGCAGCATCAGCTACACAAGCTGCCTGTGCTGGAGCATTCGGAACGGCGAACATACACGGTGTATGTGCGTTGTATATACACAACCAATATAATCCTTCGGAAGCTAAGAAGTAACGCGCGAGGTCGACAGAAGGAATGGGAGGGTAAGGCACAAAAACGACAACGACATCACCTGGAAACGGGTAATTCAAAACATGTTATTTTCACTTGAATATTCCGTGCCAGTGTGCCGTTTGCTGTTCGATTAATGCCAGTGTGCCGTTTGCTGTTCGAGAAACGGTGCACGTTTCGAAATGCAAAATTGCTTTCGACGCTCCAACGTTGCCCTTGCGAGATGGGTCCTTCCAGGATCCCCAGGAGGGCCCCCAAACCCTGTGAGGAAACAACAATAATGGCCTCCCTGATCCCAATCCCGAGATTCCGCGTGCTGCAGCCATGAGCTGCAGTGCCCTCTAGCAGAAAGAGAGAGAGAGAGAGAGAGAGAAAAAGGGATAGAGAGAGAGAGAGAAACAAAAAGAAAGAGGCAGGACAATAGTGAGAGAGGGAGAGAGAACAAAAGAAAAGGTGGAACAAAAAGCGCCAGCTTGCAAATCTGAGAGCTTGCTCGCAAGGGTGGGAAATGAAATCCCTGGACCGCAACAAACCGAACACTTATTTCCGGGAATCACATTAATCTTATTCAATCTACACTGAGAAGCCAACGCAAACTGTCCAGTACAGCTTCTGACAGCACCCTGGGGAAATAAAATCACCCACCTTTGTAAGTAATTAAGCTCGTTCTACCGCTGAGGACACGCTGCTCGTGGATTTCTGAGCAGGGAACATGAAAAAGAACACGTGCAACCTCTTATCCCAAGAATACTCCGGTGATCTCAAACGGAACCGGGTGAACCAGAACCGCTCTACCCAGAAACCGAAACGGAGCGAACCGGAGTCGATGCGCCCCAAACCGAATTGAGCCGAACAGGAACTCTACACGTCGTTCATCTCCAATCGTGCTCTTTTCTAGTTGTGCTCGTTTCTAGCTGTTCCTGGCCCCCTAGTTGCCAGGAAGAGGCCCAGGATAGTACAATTAGAAATAAAAGGATCGTGCCCCCCAAAAAATCAAAGAACTTTCGAAGAACTAGAAATGAACAACGTGTAGCCTTGGCAAGACACGTCCTTCTCATCTTGAAGATGCGGCTTGAGTGTGCGCCGATCGTGGCCAGGTCCACCCTGGGCCCAGCCATGATTGGTGCATGTGCATGGTTCCCTCCGCCCGACCTGAACAGGTCACCCACGGAGAGGTCGGGGAGCGCATTGGAAGTCATCGTCGGAGCCTTGAAGTCTTGCCGACCCCGGCACAATCAGCACGTTCCTGTCGACCCGATCGCGCGACTGGTCGATCGCACGACCATGCCAAACCGATCGGATGGTCGTACATGGTCTACGTTCACTGAGCAGGTCGCCCATGGAAAAGAGAGGCCCGAGAGCACGGAGGAGGTCAGCACTGGAGCCTTCGAATCTGCGGATCACGCTGCAGTCGCGACCGAGGACAGAGAACATCCTGCAGGACGCAGGACTCTCCCAGGGGCAGGACGATGCAGACAGGCCAGATGACACATGGCGGGTTTCGGCAACCCTGAACCCAACAACATTGTCACCTCTTGGGGGCGCATCTTTTCCTTCAGCCGGCTTCCGCTGGCCTTCCGCCAACGGGGCCGCCCCTGTTTTGCTTCCGCCGGCCTTCCGCCGAGGACGAGCTTCAGGTCGGGCATGTCCTCCTACAGGCGGATTTTGGACGACAGATGGAAAATGGACAAACTCATATTCAAGAAAAACGTCAAAACTAGTCAAACAAATCGTCCCCAGACCATTCCTGCACTATTTTTGCATATTCTTCCTGCAGAGCCAGAGCGACATGCCCGACTTAAGCCGAGCCTCTCGATCCCTCGAAGACGAGGCCCTTCCTGAACGCCTCGCGCTGCGCAAGACGGCCAGGGGCTGTGGTGCGCGAGGGTCCTCGGCGGGCGGGCGCTCGAAGCGCGCTCACGGACCGCTCCTGGGCACCGCTCGCATCCCCAACGGACGCTTCCCAGCGAAGCCGTCTGTGACGAGCCGGGGTGCCCTGCGCGTTGGCTCACAAACGAAGGGCGCACTGGCAATCAGTGAAAACACACACATGCGACGTCTCCAAAGATAGATCGGCGATGAAAACACCACCCGCCCTCCTCCATCCGCGCTGCTGCTGGGAAACTGAAGACGTGACATCGCAGGGTGGGATGGCGTGCAGTGGAGGCCAGTCCACAAGAACCCTTCCACAAGAAGCCTAACCCTGAGACCCCAGGGCGTCTGCTGATTTTAGGCGTGGGGACGTCGCGCTGTCCGTCGCAAAACCATCGAAACCCAAGAAACCCAGGGCACCCTGGAGGCAATCAGGGTGTTTCTTGGCATGGGCCCCTACTGTAATGAAACTTCCCAGCGAAGCCGTCTGTGACGGACTGGAGTACTGGAACAGCTTCAAGCAAACAGAACAAACAGGCGCAGGACTGCATAAGACTGGCGATGCCGCGATAAGCGGATGCCGAGTTCGGGGCCCGAAATCCAGGCTGACCCTCCACAGCAAGGCCAGACGGCGTCTCCAGCCCTGCCAGCGGCGGCAGCAGACCTCCAGCGCCCGTCTGGAGGAAGAAAACCGTCAGGACCGTCCAGGAGTACAGCGACATGTGGCCCCTGGCGACGTGGCAAAGGCCACGGTCCTTGGCCCAACGCTTGACGAGCAGCACAAGTCCTTGCGTGCGCGGGTCCATGCGGGTGCACTCGGCGATGAGCATGGCGTTGCAGAGCGGCGTCAGCGCGTTGACTGACAAATTCATCGGCACGGACTGCAAAGCTGGCGATGAAACGATGGTAACCCTTGGCTCGTCTCCGCGAAACGCAGAGCGCCTGAACCTGAAACCGCCTCGAGGTTTGGAGTTGGTAGCCCCTTGGAGATGGCCCTGGCCTTGGGTGCCACATTTACTAGATCGAGGGCCTTGGAAAATTCGAATCAAGCTTTCGGTCCTCTTTGGCTCCAACTCGTCTGATTTGAAGCTGGTAGGGGCAGCAGGTCCCACCAGCCCTTCAAGGCTGCGGGCGGGTAAGTGCCATCTTGCCAGTCTCCTCCCCCCAAATCAGTCCCACTCCAAGGTGAGGGGCTTGCCCCTCCCTCCCCCTGCCCCCGGTGCCACAAAACTTCCCCCTGGGCTGTGGACTGGAAGTGGCTGCCATTCCGGCGTGCTGACCGCCCCAGGTCGCGGAGAGAGGGACTAGCCATGGGTGGGGTGCCCCGCGGAAACTGTTTGAAGGTCTTCTGGGATCCTCGTCGGGGCCCTCATGGGGGAGGTACGAAGATGGTCAGTTAGGCCGGGCCTCGGATTTCAGGGTTTTGGGGGCTTCTTGACGTTCTCTCGGGGGTCCACTTGGGCAAGGCAACCTTCAGGCCTCAGAGGCACACTGGACACCGAAAAGGCGATAAGGCGAAGAACATACAAGAAGCTGTTACGGTTTCGTTGATTTGGGCATCTCGGCGGTATGAGGTCCCCAAGACGGCCCAAATAGTTCCCCAAGACGCCACAAGATGCGCCCAAGACGGCCAAATTCGCTCCGACTAACCCCCCAGCCAGGCCTGAGAAGCTCTTCAAGACGGCCCAGGAGTCCACCAAGAGGCCCCCCAGCATGCTCCCAATGGCCCACTGGGCGCCTAAGATCCACCCGAATGTAATGATTTGCCCCCCGCTATGGGTTTGCGTCTGTGAAGGATCTCTCTCCCTTGCAGAGTTCCCCGCCAGGAACCTGGGGCAGATATCTGTCGCATGTCACAGCATTCTGGGCGGTCCTCCCGAAGGCGCCACGCAAAGTGCTGCGCTGGCAGGGTGGCGGAACCTGCTGCAGGAGGGAGGAGGCGGATACTGTCCCCAAAGAAATCAACAGCCACACGCTGGGGATGCGGGGACCACTTGCCATCATCCTGGGGCAACCGATTCCATGCCCTAGCCACCGTCGGACACCAAGCGGTCGGTGCACGCGCGGACCGCGGACTTGCGCAACTGTTGTGCAGAGCAGCCGCTGCCAGGCTGCCGGCCTTGCCTAGAAGGCACGTCTGCCCCAACTCAAACTTTCTGAGGTCCGTGCGGATTCCTCGGATCGGCGCCCGACCCCCCTCCCTGGCGCGCGCGCCAGGGGCGGCGCCGCAAGCGCCGCCAGGGAGTGGGGCGGGGGCCCGCGCCGATCCAATAGATCCGCGCGGGGATCCGAACATCTGTGCTCATGCAGATATCTTAGCCGCGCCAGTACACAACACGCAACCCGTAGCGTGTTGACGCCGAGCTCAACACGTAAGTTGAAGACGTAGGTCTGGAGCGATACGTTCGCCAAGACTTGGTCCATCATGTGCAGAGCCAACACGCAGCGTGTGAACACGGACGT